TTATTACATCATTTTCTTAACCATTTTCCTTTGTTTTATTTGCCCATTAGTGTCTTAATTGAGTCTTTTTATGTCTTTTTCACATATTAGTAGTTATATAGTATATCTAATGTTAATTCCCTGTTTTTACAGGTTTTTGATGATTTTTTAGCCCAGTCCTACGGCAGTCCTACAGGACCAGGAGTGGCAAGGTCCTATAGTACCTGTCCGAGAGCTGAAATTCTGCTTGGGCCGTGGAGAAATGGGCTGATCCATAGAGGAGGCGTGGTCAACGACCTTAGGCCCGGTCAAAGCCCAGTTTTGAAGGGATTTTTGTCTTATTAGTTGGCACCCACTATGGGACCTTCCTTGGCCTATATAAACAAGCCTTAAGCCTTGTTTTACACATGCTTTTGATACTTTTTGCATACTTTGGAGATTTTTGGATGCTCTCTACCATTGAATCCTTATAATCTTTGTGTTAGTTATTTTCAAGAATATTGCTTTCGGTTCTAATCTTTCGGTTCTTATTGTTTGACTTTTCAAGAACCGATTTTTGTAAGTTGTGACTTCATTTTCAAGGTTTAATTTAAGCACTCGTATTTAATCTTCATCTTATTTCTGTTCCAAGTTACGTTACGTTTTCTTACTACGAATTAGTCGATCGTTGTTGCTTTACATCGGATCTCATCCTTTATGGCTCACGGCTAATTTACGTAGTCTAAATAAACAGTTTTTACGAGTTTGCAAGTAATCTTTCGGTCTTTGTAACGAAACTTGTTTTGCAAGTTTCGTTACTTGACTTGCAAGTTTTCTTCAAAAGTCAACCCCATTTTCCAAGGTTTTCATATGTCATCTTTCCTTCCCATCAAAGTACTACTTGTCATCTCATCATGTACTTCCTTCCATCATTACTAGATTATAATTAATTAATATTACTTAATTATTAATAATTTATATTTCAGTCTTTTATATTTCAGTCATTTATATTTCAGTCTTTATATTTCAGTCTTTTATATTTCAGTCCTTTACATTTTAGTCTTTACATTTCAGTCTTTACTTTACTGCAATTTACATTTCTGTCATTTAATTCCCAGTAATTTACTTTCAGTCATTTATATTTCAGTCATTTAAATTCCAGAATTTCCATTTCCTGTAATTTACTTTCTGCAATTTACTCTTCCGTATCGTTATTTATTTTTCAGTCCTTACATCCTTCGAGAGAAGAAACCGAGCGATGATGGRCTARCGCCTTAGCTTGGGGTGTAACGGAAAATTAAGACCAAAGCCGATGTGAAAGTACAAAGGTGTCTTATTAGCATTATAGTCTACTATTTATTTCAGGTGCTTAATATTKCATTTGATGATTACATTAAAATTAATTGACAACTAATTTTGTGTATAAAAATGTATTGACTTTCAAAACTTGAGGTAATAGGGGAAGGCTATAAATAGCTTTAGTGTCTGACAAACGCTATACTCCTACGGTGTAGGATGGTAACACTGTGTTGTGCTAGGATTCACGACGTCTAACATAAATGATATCATATCGATAGCACGTTGACCGGTGTGTGCTCTTKGRAKGMCGTYTGACCCGATAGTTGATACTGTCATAGTTATATAAAATCATTTATTGATTTTAGATAATTGTGACAGGAATGCTATGTCACCTTATTACTGAATCATTTGTTTAATGTCTTAATCAACTGTTGCACCTTGTGCTTCTTCTTAAGACTGATATTTTCTTAGTTGTAAATCAAACCTCACCCATTTTTAGATAAATCAAATCCCTCGAATCGTCATCTGAAATTAATTTTTATAAACTGGATTTTCGAAATAACTTTACAAGCTATCTCTGTGAGAACGATATCTGGTACTTTTTACCATTATTACTTGTTACGAGACGACAGTAGTTCGAGGTGTATACTTGCGCCGAGTTCTATTTTTGTGTTGGAATCTAAGGTTGAATAAACCGACGAGAACCTATTCTCTTCAAAGTGTATTTGTTAAATAAAAATTGAAATTCAATAAATTTAAAAAGAAAAGGTAATTTGCCTTTTTAGGCTGCATTTGGTACATGAGACTGGACATGATAGGACATGACAAAATTCACTGTCCCACGTTTGGCTCAACATGGGACAGAACAAGAACACACCGTCCCATGTTTGGCGCAACACGGGACAAACAAGAACTCACTGTCTCACGTTTGGCACAACATGGGACAAGGTGGGACAACATGAGACAAAAGAGGCTTTTACTTGTTCCAGCAAAATAGATGGGACAAAAATGAGACATAAACTAAAATATTACTAATCTACCTTAGTTTGATATATAACCTTAATATGATATTTGTTTTAATGGTCATCACGCTAGTTTCAGCCGCCGCCGCCACCGGCGGCCACCTCCACCTTCTCTTTCACTACAACAATATCCTCCACCGCCTCCACAACCACCGTTCACCAAGTCCATCGCCACCTTTACCATAGTCGGCCACTGACCACACCGTCTATTGCCACTACCACTACCGTCGTTCGCCAACTCCAACTCCTCTTCTACTATAAGTCTATAACAACCTCCTTCACCACCGTTCATTGCCACCTTACAACCACCGTCGGCCATCCGACCACCACCACCTATTACCACCAACACTACCACCGTTGGCCATCTCCAAATCCTCCTATACCGCAACAATCTCCTCCATGACCTCCACAACCACCGTCGACCACCGACCACCACTGTCTATTGCCATCTCTACAACCACCATCGATCACCGACCACCACCGTCCATTGCCACCACCACTACCATCGTTGGCCACCTCTAACTCCTCCTATACTGCAACAACCTCATCCACAACCTCCACAACCACCATCGGCCACCATGCCACCTCACCTCCACTGTAACCACCACTACCACTATCTTCACTACACCAGCCACAACTACCTCTTTCATCGGTGTCAACCACCATCACCACCACAATACACCATCTTCATGTCCTCTATAACCGCCCATTGCCACTACTAACGTCGCCTACCACCACCTCCACCATAACCAAAACCACCTCTACTACTACAACCATCAATTATATCAAATTTTTTATTTAAATTTGGTATCATTATATATGTACGTATTCATTTATTGGAAAAATGTGTACAAATATTTATAAATTAAATTCTTTAATTATTTACTTTATTTTTATTAATTATAACTATTATATAATATTTAAAATCATTAAATAACTTTTGAAGGTAACTTGTCTAGTTCTGTCCTAGTCGTATCAAACACTAGACATACTTTTCATCTGTCCAGTCCTACACTTTTGTTCTGTCTCGTCCAGTCCTGTCCAATCCTTCACTCTTGTCCTATCATATCCTGTCCAATCTCGTCTTATCCAGTTACGTTCTATCATGTCCATGTATCAAACGCTGCCTTAAGTTACAAAACCTCTTAACGTAAATAGTTATTATTTATTTTTAAAAACTAGTTTTTTTTAAACTTTCTATAAGTACAATTAAAATTGTTTTTACGGAAAGTCGTATCGTTTATCCCACAGTTAGAAGCCGGCATTGTTTGATTGTGGAGATCAATGGAGGAGGCAGAGAAAGGCAAAGGAAACCAGAGATGGAGTGCTGCCATCGCTAATCTCTCCGACCTATCAAACAATCTCACTTCCATCGAGAAGCTACTCATCAAGAAAGCCGTCTACGTCGATGCCAATACTTTCAACAAAGCCTCTTTAATCTCAGAACAAGCTCGTTCCATCAAGGTGTTCCTTTTTGTATTACCTGATTCCAAATACTGTTATGAAATTGAATCACGTTTATCTGCCGATATATGATTGAAATGCTACACGGTGTGATGTATGACTGCAATTGAATTGTTTTGAGTTTCAATTTAGGTGGTTGCTATACTTACGATTGAATATATTTTGTTTAAATCAGATCGGTATGAATTTGGATGTACTTTTTGTTTGATGGTGAATGTTTGGACGGACTGAACCTGATTCTAGGAACTTTCGAACGCTCCGCTTGTCAATTATGAAATTGAACCATGAGATGTATGATTAAAATCCGCTTGTTGTTGATGGATTATTGCAGTTTTGAACTGTTTGAATACAATGTAGGTCGTTAATGTTGAATTCAAATCATTAAGGATCGACTTAAAACCATATGAAAAAGGATTTTTATTTATTGTTCACTATATATGATTCCAATCCAACTGTTTGAGTTTCAATTTCGTGGTCATCTTCTTACCTCTGATTGATTCAACCCACTGAAGAATACATAAACCACAGAACACCACCTATATTCTTTGAGTAATATTGTTGATGATTCATGATTCCATTGAATCTGGGTCTAATCATAGTTTGGTAGAAGGTAGAATTTTACTGAGATGGAAATTGTCTTTGAGGATTTGTTTTTAATGAATGATCTGATATTCTGAGTGACCACAGATTAGGGATAACAAAGTTATTAGATGCTGTTTTAGTTTAGTCTCTTTTTTGTGTCTGATGATAGATAAAAATGTAAAATGATTTATTTATCTTTGTCATTCCAGGAAATGGGAAGTGTTGAGAACAAAGTAATTGTTATCATACAACTGTTTCTTGATGGTTTAGGTACCTAGCTATATACATTGTGGCTTTTATAGGTTTCCATCATTTTTTATCTCTGCTTAGTGATGTAGATTCTTTCGAACTATAAATTGATGCAGTTCTTCAAAAGTCGAATTCTGTTTTGACATTATAGAGTCATGTTTTGAGGAGTTATGCTTTAAAACCGATATAGATTGATTTCACTTATGGAAGCAATGAAGGCATGACAGAGAGCTCATTTAAGGTAACAGCATTTTGTTGTCTTCCTTTCAACCAAAAACTGATTTGTGTAGTTAAGATGTTGGTTTTGATGTTGCAAGTTGTAGAACCGAATCATTAAGAACCCTCTCAGTTGTAGTGTACTTCATTCTGGTATCAATTCTTTGTCAATGATGATAAAGTGTTCACTGACCATTGTTTTGAACATTGAATTAGTCATAGCTGTAATGAGATTCTTTGCCTTGTTAATTCTTTTTCTTTGAACATGGAATTGGCTATCTGTAAACTGTTCTATACATGTTAGATACTTAACCCAGAAAGAAATGCTGCCCTTTAATTTTTTTTTAATTTTTGCCAAGTTGATTGTTTTCTATTTATCTATCCCTTTACATTTGAATATTTTAGAATATACACGATACATCGGATTTGACTTGCTATAGAATCATGAAAAGGTGAAGTTACTTCAACTGCTCCCCTCCCCCCCCCCCCCCAAAAAAAAAAAATATCCCACCCCAAAGACATAAAAAGTGTTTGGCCTAGTCCCAGGTTTTCTAAGTTGATTAGATAGGAACATCACTTCTTGTTGGTGTGCCAAGATCTAGAAGTACTAACAAGCAAAAAAAGACCCTGAAAGGACCTGTTTTTGACACGAGTGTTTTGTGGTGCAGGTTCTTGAGCAAAGGGTGGAGAGATTAGAACGAGAGCTAGATGCTGCCATTTCGGCTGCAGCTCATGCACGTATAGAGAAACGAGAGGCTGAGGCAGGACAAAAGGCTGCTGAATTACGAGCAGAAGAGATGACAAAGGAGCTCGAAAACACCACAAGTATGCAGACTCTATTAACTTTAATTATCTTACAGTTAATGAACTAGAGTTTGTTGTAAGTAAGCTCATGATCAATATCCAACCCAACATAACCCTAAAGGAAATGATCCAACTGTTTCCATCTGAATGACATGATTATTATGCAGAGGTATTTGAAGTGCACATGGAAGAATTACGAGCAAAACAAGGTGAGATTTCAAAGCGCGACAAAGAGATCACACTTCTGAAAACCGTCATTCAGACACTGGGAGGAAACGAGTTTGGATCACCCTAGCTAGCAGTATGTATATATGTAACACTTGCATAGTTTTGTAACCTATCAATAACTCTGATTCCAGTAGAATCACAGTTTTGATATCCATTTTTCTTGTCTTCAAAAACTCATTTGAAGCTTGATTTTATTCCTGGTATGCATTTTCGACTCAAGTGTGTGGAAATAACGTTTTGTTAATTTTCTTATATGTTTCAATAACTTGCTTTCCTTCTCCTATAGAAGATGTTGTACACACCCAAGTACCCACCATGTGCATTGTTTCATTCACCAAGACTTTTTTTCCATTTGTCTTCCTTTTTAGCTGTTGGATTTCGAATGCGAGCCAGCATAATGACATGAGATATGACGTGTTGACGAGATCAGGTTTTAAGTCTTACGAGTTACAGCGAAATCACAACAGCTTTGAAGCACTTGTGTATGTTAGTGTTCTCAATAATATCATAGAATAAATTAAATTCATATAAATAAAAAAGAAAGAAGAACCATTGATATTATATAGAGCTTATAAGAAAATGACATTACGAATGAAGAATCAGGATTAAATCTTGTGAATCTCTACTCACTACTTTCGTCAATCTTCAAGGAATTCGTGTTCGACTCTTCGTGTACGAGAATGAGAGTAAGTATTTACTTATTTTGGGTTTTAGTTTTTAAGTTTCTTTTTTTATGCTTATTTCTATTTAAGTCGTAAGTCTCATACATAATTATTATTTATCCCTCAAGTTATACATTAAAAATCAGATACCTTGTTGGTGATTTTAACGTCATCCATTATTTTGATGTGGTTAGGATTTACTTGAGATCAATTAAAGTGATAAGACAAACATAAGTAAGTTAGAAGGTGCAAAGTGCACATTCAATAATGTTGCCCCTATCAACTTAAATCACCATAAGGCGGGGTCAAAGGGGTCGCACCCCCTTGGGAAGCTCGAGAGGCAGTGCCCCTAATGGGGTTTTAACTTTTAAGGGGCAGAGCCCCTTGGCGGTGAACTAAGTATAAGAAGGTTGTTCGGTTCGTTTTTTGTTAAGACCTGTATAGATATAGTTGTCTGCGTATTAACAGATAAGTTGTTGTTCGGTCGTTGTGCTGAATAAACAGTCTGAATATCAGAAATAACCTTATTACCCCAGTCTTTATTTTTGTTTGAATAAAACACAGTTTGATAAATATTGAACACATGACTTTTTAATTGAATTGTTTGCGGATCAATATTATTACATCGGGTACCCATAACAAGAACAACTCTAGATCAAATGAAACAAAAATGTTGAATCAAATAAAACCCCAATTCATCTCTCTCTCTCTCTCTAGAGTTTGTTTGTTTGTCTATGGCGGAGGGGTTTGAACCATACCACATCCCACAACAAAGCAGAAGGAAGAAATTGAGGGTTGTAACCACTGGTTGCGATGGAGATCTGCTCCCTTTATATGATCAATCGTCCTTCATCTTTTCCTCTCCTGATCTCTTGTCCAAGCAACCATGCAACATCACCTCCTCATTAATGGCTACTGCTACTAGTAATAGTGATTATGCCACAACAATGATAGATGGGTCGTTGGATCTGCAGTCCGTCAGTGGCTGAATACAAATGACATAAGTTTTGTAGCTGAGCAATTCAGCCATGGGCTAATCGAATAAGCCCATACCGAACAACTAGATATGGTTATACGAATAAGCCATATAGCTTATACAACCCATTAAGCCGCAACCGAACAACCCCTAAGTCTGAGGTAGTGTAATCAGAGATCTTATCATTCTGATCAAAGTTATGATGTATTGCTGAAAACTTCTAAGAACAATCAGAGATCTAAACAATGAAACCATAGATCTTGTTTATTGAATCAAATTTCAAATCTCAACAACTTTGACTAAGGCTACGTTTGTTTTTTAAGAGATACTGAAGTCTAAAGTCTTTTTTCACTTCTGATTAATAAGAGATGGTACTGAAGTATGAAATCTGAATCAATAAGACTGTTTGTTTTTGTAAATTGACAAACGTCTGAAATCTTCATCAATATTTGTTTTTTGTAAAATCGGGTGCGAACATTTTGCAAAATTCTCTTGATTTTCATAAAATATTCATTGTCGAAATCCATCTCAACAATTGTTTAATAGATGGAACACAGTAAAAACCTTTTGGATACCTTTTTCAGACTTCCGATGCTATCGAGAATGTTGTCAGTTTGTTTGCTGAAAGATCGATACTTTTGATAAATGATAGATCGCCTATAGAAGTTCTTGTTTCACATTAATCTTCTAAGATAACCTATATGCACATAAATTATATATATATATATATATATATATATACACACACACACAGAGAGAGAAAGAGAAGCTGGGGGCATGCATTTCACATGGGTGATTAAAGGATGGTGGCGTCCCTAAGGTTGCATTTAGTACATGGGACAGGATGGGACAAAACTCACTGTCTCACGTTTGGCGCAACATGGGACAGAAAAATAACTCACTGTCCCACGTTTGGTGCGACATGAGACAGGGACAAGAACTGCGAGGTGGGACAGCGTGGGACAAAAAAGATTTTTTCTTGTTCCATCAAAATAGGTGGAACAAGATGGGACAAGAACAAGATAGAAACTAAAATATTACTAACTAACCCTCGTTTAATATATAACCTTAACATGATATTTGTTTTAGTGGTCATCACCGCTAGTTGCGTTTGCCGCCACCATCGGCAGCCACTGCCCGCGACCTCCCCATCCTCCATCACCTTCACAACCACCATCGACTACTACCGTCTATCACCACCTCCACCAGCGGCCACCTACCATCACCGTCCATCGCCACTACCACCGTGGGCCACCTCCACCTTCTCTTATACTACAACAACCTCCTTCACCACCTTCACCACTGTTGGTCCCAAAGGGTCTAYAAGAATACTAAACAGTTTGTAGAAGGGGGGGGATGAATACAAACACAATTTTCAAATTTAAAATATATATTGATAAAGAAGATCAATACATATTTTACAAGATTGTCTGCGGAAAGATAAGTTATAAGAAACCTATCTAAACAATCTTAAGT